ATAATGTGCACGCATTTCGCAATTGTCTGTAGTAATACATAACAAATGTATAGATTTGTATAATCATTGGTGTTAATATCATAAATTGTGAACTGTATACCCCGGCATAGGATGATATGTGTCCATTGAATGACCGGCTACACCCTATGTCGACGGACCCTGGCCGGTCTTCACTTAAGTATGCACACTTCGTAGTACAAAGCGTGGAGTTTTACATATGAAGACCTCGGTTACAAAGAATGTTTGTGAATTAGGGAGAGGCAAAAAATATGCCCGGGTGTCTGAAAGCCATTGATTGAACTCACCGACCAATCGGGGAGCATACACTCGAAGCTATTGACAAAAAAAACACTGTATTTGCGCATGCTGACCGCGGGGACTACTTAATTTTTTTTTTTGTATAACAGTAAAGTTTCCTGGCATTCAATCGCTAGTTCCCATGCGTCCAGCAGAGTAACGCTAACCGTAGCCTGGTCGTCTTAAATTTACAAAATGTGTCCAACACGACCTGTATTATGTGAATGCCAGATGTAACTGACCATCCACCAGCGTCGTGTATATCGTGGAACTTGTAACTCACTCTAATTGGCAGATATTTGGAGACTGGCGCAACATACCAAGCCGGACGACGAGGGTCAGTATAAACTTTGACACAATTGTCGATTTCCAGTTATCCTTTTTTAAATGATATAATGGTATATGATTGATTCCGTTTTTAGTTCAGTTGTAGACGCGCGACGTTTGGATGCAGCACAATGTATGGGAATTTATAACCAGTCATTTTAAGGGTCCTGGATTTAAAAAGCCTACCCATTGTAAGTTTGTGTTTAATTATACATAATTAAGGGGCCTGCAAGGCCAATCTACAAAAGGATCTCCTAACTATAGATGAATGGGTCGATAAAATGTGTCCAGCGTCCAGCGCATAGTAGCTCACGGGGCCACTACCGTGTCCCGATTCACCAATGCCACCGTGTCCCGGTTCACCAATGTTGTCCATATTTGAATTGGGACGTATAGAAAGTTATTTTCATACATGGTTTGTAAATATGACGTCTGGGTGGCCATTTTGTAGTTCGCGCCATGGGATTTCTCTCATCACATTTGGCAAGCACGTACTGTAAACTGCACTTTGGTCTTTAGAACTTTTCGAACAATCCATCAACTTTTTTTTTTCAAAAGGGGTCCTCTCCATGCTAACAAACACAACCTTCACGAAAAATCCATACATGACACAAAGCACAGTGTGTGTACACGCTTTTTTCCCCGATTCTGCTCCATTTCTACCACATGTTGCTTTTCTTTTTATTGTATATGTATTCATATAAAGCACAGGGGGTCTCCATTTGATTGAATGGAATAATCGAGGTATGCTTTTAAAAGTACACTCTCCAACCTACTGCGCACAGATACATAAGCAGGTCAGTGATGTGATATATTTTTCGGTTTACCGGTCGTGTCGTGCCAATATTCATTATCGCTACAATACTATCAAGTGTTCGTAGGCAGTAAGTAGTGCTGTCATTTGGTTGCTTCGATGGTACTGTATAGTCATTAATCTCCCTAAGTTTGCTGAAGGACGCCGGTCTACATGTATTCCCATGCTAGAAAAATAAAGATTTGCTAATATTAAAAAAAAGTTATTAAAATTGTCAATGAGATTTGATTGTTGACGGATCGACTTTGTATGTGTCTACATCTTTCCGAATCCCGGGTCATTTAGCTCTGGACTACGTGCGTGACCTGGATACATATATTGCACCTCTTCGTAGTTTGACAACCGGGTCTTTTTGCACAATCGACTTTAATGACACAATGGCACGCCTTAATATTTAACCTAAAGATAGCATGGTTTATATTTTAACGGAATCACTTTCGTTATCCTTCTCGTGTTTTATAGTCACTACTTAAAGAAGCGGTGTTGTCTGTAGGCCAGTATGAAAAAAATATTTTTTCATATAGTCTCTTAGGGACTGACATGATTTAATATTTCCTCCCTAGCGCCCCATTGCAGCGTGTAGCACAAGGCGCAGAGAGGAATAAAATACACCAGGTAACTTTCAAGAATTCAAACAAATGATCTAAGACTCCCTGCGCATGCGCGGATATGAAAACAAAAGATTATTCGATGTTCCACTCCCTCCTCACCGCTGGCGTCGTCTTAATTTCTGCTGGGTGCAGTTTAGCTGTTAAACAATTAAGAGTCCCGACCACACCAGTTTCTAATAGCTGGCCGCAGAATCCCCGCGAGAATTCACCCCTCTGACCCCATCGCAGATTTTTTTTTAGTGTTGATTGTTTTCCATTGAGGCGTCATCCATTGATTTGATGGCGTCTCTGCCCATTTATATAAGACCTTTGAAAGCTGTCTAATTTCAACACTAATTACACCCAGTTCCATCAGCGTTGGCTTTCCTATACGCACACCGCGACTATTGAATTACATAATTGACCACCCTAGCATTGATGGTAGTTTTTCTTGAATAAAAAAGATTATTCATACCTAAAACCTTGCACTACTTACATCTGATTGTTGTGACATTTTTTAAAGAAAATATCGCCGATGTAATGTATACAAACTCACCCGGAGTGGAAAACAAGTTTTCCTTTGCTGCAAGGTTCAGTCTGGAAAAAAAGAACGATTTCCATGGCAACAATAGTACTGATAAGTACCATTCTACTAGAGGTGGTAGAAATGCCACCACAATAGTAAAAACAAAAATTCAATAGAGAGGTAACGTTGGGATACTGAAAAGACCCACTCAGCTGGATATAATGTTGATCACGTGGTGCCGGCGACCAATTCATCGAGACTCTGAGCCATTTGACGGCTAATTCCGCCCATACTCCTATCGAGCCTCTCATCACGTTTTAAGCACAACTTGGGGGTAAATACGCATAGTGGTGTTTCGTTTAGTTCCTTTAATATAAAGTTTGAAACACTCCAAAAGTTGACCGTCCGGCGTTTGTCGTGCGTCGTCGAGGGATAGTCACAATTCGTATAATAAGAGAGTTGAACAGGACCACGCAAGCGAACAGCCTTTTGAACTTCAGTGTAAGGATTAGGGATACATTTCTCGCTTGGATAACTTAACTGAAGGAGGCAGTTTGCAGGACAAACACTTCGTTCTATGCCCGGCATTTTCCTCGGTGAGGTTTGGATTTTTTGCTTGGCGTTCCGTTGCGCTGGTATACTCGGCACAATAGGGGTCTAGTGGGCACCATTGACTCACACTCAAAGAGTTCAGTAGTTAGTTTTATCAAATGTTTTTATTTTAAACATCGGCGAGAATACTATAATCATATTATAGAGAGGAGGTTTTGAAAAAAAAAAACTAACCACAAAGACGTCATTGAAGAGAAGGACGCCCGTCAACGTAAAGGTATGCTGCATATATTTGTTAGGGCGTCTGTGACTAGAGGCGATTTCCCGGCATTAACCGGGGATGTTGCATATCCAATTAGGCCACATCTACTGGAACTAATGGCTCCGGTGAAAAGATCCTGACCACGTATTGCACTGAAGGTCATGACCTGGCACTTTCGCCGCTTGTATTTAAGACGTATGCATTTCACACTGGTACTTGTGTTAGAGCAGGCTGGCCAAGGACCCCACTTGGGATCACGCCATCCTACGGGGTAATTTGATAAGACAAACAAACACAGGTAAACACAAATCGACTGTTTTTTCATGTCCAAACAAGGTGTTCCAGTGTAAAATTTCAGAATTTACTCGTGGGTACGCTGTTGAAATTACAAGCGAATTCTAATTGGACGGAAGTTCTAAATGCATCGCCATCTTGTCTTTACCTGACGATTACTATCGGCCTCCCATCGGGCAAGAGGTACGTATATAAGATTATAACATTGGTTTTTATACAAATTACGTAACTATTGAGTAAATATTACTTAATTTTATTTCATTATTACTCGTAATTGCACTTATACTAATTGAAAAATCTATAAAACACTATGTGACGGTGTTTGTTTGTTTGTGTGTTCTATTGTCTGTAGGTAACATATCATTTTCATCGCTGTGTCGTTATGTCGCAAAAGGTATTGTGCAAGTGCAGCATGGAACTTTTAAAATGGACCCTATTCAAATAATATACATTCGTTTAAATATGTGGTATACGGGTACACAGGTGTTAGGTGTGGTGAGTCCCTTTGAACCTGGAACAAATCACGAACAAACCCTTTGGGACTGGCATACCGCAATCGAAGTGTCTATCGTTACATTTGTAGTACGTTGTTTCACACTCACTTTATATCGAATGTCACTATTAAAGCACGCTTTGCACACAGCCAGTGACATTTCTACTCGCCAAGACGTGCATGGCGTGTACTACAAATAAAAAAAAAAGCTTGTTATAAGAAACAACGAAATGAAGCGAAATGTAACAGATACGAGGACTTCGACGACAGATCCTGGAACAATAAAAGGTTTTCCAGATCGTTACGTAGATGACCACTTTATGATACAACACTACATTACATGTAGGAGTGTGACTAATTACACACCTCTTCAACACTATATGTGACGTCACGACCTGCCCACTTCAAAGTGGCAACACGGCATTCCATTGCAAGCGCGCACAGTGTTGGGAGGTATTTGGCATCACATCGAGTTCCTCACGTTGTATATTCAGTGTATTTATATAAGGGTCTCGAATTGCAGACCAGGCTTAATTCCACTATGTGATAACGTAACACTATTCTGAATTCTATATTCGAAGTCGAATTGTACTTTTTTTTTTTAAATATCATTACTTTAATTTTATGGTTTCTGCATCAGGGGTTATTTAGTTCGTGCCTCTCGGTGGCATTGTAATGTTTGATTGTTTGTTTTCAGTGAAGCGCGGAGTCCAGATTGTTACCTCTGAATTGGTCATTTTGGTAGTCTCTGTTCGATGAACGAAAGAGAGGGGCCCTGGGTAGGTCTCAGAGAATGCAGATTCACACTTCAGGTTGTTTTCTTGAATTCCAGCAATGTTTGAATTCCGAATTTTTGGCTCTCGTTTTCTCTTTGGTTATCTAGCTGTATGAGTGTACATGACATTATAAAGCTAGGTTACCAAAGACAAAAACAGATGCCAGTGATCACCGATGCCGGGATGAGAACAACCTCGTTCCAGACTCAAATCAAATGTCTGCACTCAACGCGGCGGCGCGGCAGCCACGGATTTATACCAATTCCGATTTCTAGTGTCGCCACTTAAAATATAATTTTGCTTAACAGAACACGATGCAAACGTGTATTTTCTTTTTCAATCCATCATCGCCCATTCAATTCACTGTACCCGTCCCTAAACAGTGGCGGCGGCACGGGGGAGGGGATGCGCGACCACTCGCGATGGGTGGTGATCAGAATGCAAAATTTCGTGCCGCTACCTCTGCTAAAGACAAAAGACCGCGCTACCTGATATTCCTCTGCCCGGAATCTTTGCAATAGTAAAAGACTCAGTCCCAGAAAGTTGTTCTATTATTATTTGAGGGTATGTAAAATACTACAAAATACCTTCGGTAATTGTATGAATTGTCTCACAAGGGAATTCATGGGTGAACGGAAACTGGCATTTAACACCCTCGTGGGGTATTCTGGCATAATGTGGTTGGATTGTACCATTTACTGGAGGGGTGGAAAGCGTGGGCACTTCATTATCTGTCTTTTGAGAATGGACAACTGATAGAGTGAGCTATAAATAACAATAAGATTTCTGGTGAAAAATTCTATTGAATTGCCCGTATCAGAGTTGTTACAAGTATAATTGACGGGAATCTCGCCATCATTCAAAGTTACACGACTCTGGCTATAATTTGTTATAAGATAACCAAATAACTATGCTCATCTCAAGTTAGTTTCGTTTTCGCCTTCAAATTCAATTAAGGTAAAATGCAACTCGAAATTGAAAGTACTCAAAATTTCTTCCAACCAAAATGTTAATATTGAAGCTATTAAGTTAATATTATATATTAAGTTATATGTTCAGTAATAGTATGGGAGGGAGAAGGGTAAGGGGACTATGGTTTAGCAATGGTGACCATTTTTTCGAAATTGTTTTATCGTTAACTCCTGGCCTACACATACATATCGTTACCAATACTTACTTTAATTATTTCTTTTAAAACATGCGATCGATGAAAATTGTGCTTAATATTCGGCCAATTGTTCATAATTAAGTTTGTAACATACTATGGAATACTAGTATTTCTATATCTTGTTGTCATGCGATTTCTCAATATTCAATTGGTTACTACTAATACTACTACTACTATTACGCGATCGCGAATTATATAAATACACATAAATTGTTATATGGAATTGGTTCAAAAAATTTCACAAGATTACCCACTGTTGTTTTGTAAATTTAACAGCAATCGGTACATAGTACCATAGCGTGATATCTATCTAGTATTAATACAACTATGTTGCTGGGGTTTATGATAAGTCTATTTTAATCCAGGATCGATACCAACCGTACCATATGATTATTTATTATTGTTCCATAGTTCTAGCGTGGTTAACTGCTACTGTGTTTTAAAGTATCGAGGGGTGTGATACGCGAGGGCCATCGTTTCAAATTACAATCTCATCCAATAGGATTTACTCGTTTATAACACGCCCAGCATGAAATGACACATCACAAGTACTCGTTTTCGTCATTGTTCTAAAATAAAACAGAAAAACCACCTGAATGAAAAGATTCCTTCACACTCTCCTGCACTCATAACAAGAGTGGTATAGGTAATAGTGACTAAGGGGAAAACAAGCGACAAGAAACATTATCTATGGTTCAGCGCTCTTACTTAGACCTATTCAAATTGTATTCCTTCTTCCGCTCGGCAATGAATCGAGATGGACCGGCCCACCTTTCCCACGCTCTGCACCCAGCCGCAATTAGCATATTGGAGTTATAGCCGGCTATTGTGTCTGTTCCTTTTTGCTTGATGAGTGGGCGCGTTGGGGAGCAAACAATTCAACGAAATCTTTGAAGGCGAGACCGTCTTTTCTGTATTTTAGACAGACAGTAGAAACAATAGGATGACATACACCGTGTTTAAATAAGTGTATCATCATCATTCTCTGTTCATTCAACAGTAGGGCGACGCTAATGAGAAACGGTGCCTCGCCCGTCACTCACTTCACCTCTGACCATAGAATCTACAAGTTACTTTTGCAGCAAACAGCTGGGCAATAGAGAATACGCGCCATGAATGGTCCATTTGGCGAACAAAAACATCATATAGAATCATATCAAGAGTTTCATTTTGAAATAAATCACAAAACAAAACAGTAAAAAGTTGAAAATCTGTATTACAACTTGAAAATGTGACTTATTTTACAATGGCACTGTTTTTCTGAAAAGGTAAGAATGTTAATGGCTAATGTTTATAACGTTGTCTGTTGTTGTCTGTTTACGATAATGGATAGCATTTGGTGTTTAAGTAAGTTTCACAAAAAATACAAAAATTCTTGTAATATTATTGTTGTTGTTTCTTGTTCAGCTCGCGACTCCCATGGGAATTGTGATAACTGGTTCGTTGCTTTTACAACTACCAACTGAACGATGCCAGCTCAATTTAACGACCTTATAACCCGAAGTTTGAACAATCTGTAGAAGTGATTCTAACAAAGACGAGCCGGGAAATTTATGGCGCAATGTCATATTGTTACACAAAACAGAAGACGAAATGTAATTGCTTGCTGGCCTAGGTTGTTATCATGGTGCCATATTGATAATTTATGGAGTTACGTGTCGAAATGCGAATCTCCGTCTGCAAAATAGTGCATCGGTAAAAACAATATAATACGATATAATATATTACAATATGATGATTGAATAGTATATGTTTTAAAATTTATTAATTAAAGTAATTTCCAATAAAGTGCACAGTATGTCACGATTTCCGATTTCGTTAGTATGTCTGAGATTTTGATATGGTCTATTGAATTGACAAGCCCCGGGATATCACGGCTACACCCCTCGCGTACAGTAGTCAGGCTGCAGGGATGTAGGTTTCTGACAGTGTTATTCTTGACCATCTCTCAAATCGCCGGATAGCGAGAGTTTTTATATTATTTGCTCGTATAGACAAATATTATTATTGTTCCATTTATGTTTGCTATTAATGACAATCTATTCTGCGTCCAGCCCGATGACACAAGACTCGTTCATCACATTCAAAATATATGCAAACAGGAACAAATTCAGATGATAATGCTCTGTTTGTTTTAACCCATCTACCCATTGTTTGCGGTAACCTATTTGTAATCTGGGGGAGAAGTCGGGGGAGTTTCGGATTGAAAAAATACGTGGGATAAATCAAGAAAAAACAATTCTACAGGTTCAACATTCTTACTCAAAAAAAGTTAAAAAAAACAAACTTTTATTGACATGGAGCCAGGAAAAAAACGGCAATTTTATGCAATTGACCAATTTCGTCTAGCCTCTTCCCATATTTCAATTGCACCAGCCTTGCATTCAACTGCAAGAGAGGAGCCAACAACTAGGGTTTAGCATATTAGCATAGCATTTACTACGACTCATTACATCATAATATCGTATGACATTCAACGAAAAGAAAGTCTAGTCTAACTTGACAGGTTG